GCGAGTAATTTGTGGGGGGGGGGGAGGGGTGCGCCCTTCATTAGATACGCCACTGGTATCGTTACACGTTGATTAGCGGTACATTGTGGCTGTCACAAGTTCCCAGAGGCCCAGTCAAAATTTTGAATTTGAGAGGATAAGAAAAAAAATTACAATTTTTATTTATTTTATTGTGATCATCGTCTAATGTATTACTTTACCTACAACATTTTAGTCTTCTCACGAAGTATCTATACCGATCAATAGAAAATGCAATCACCAGACACATTTTCCAAAGAAACAGTTTCCATCAAACGTCGAGTGTAAGTCAAATATCGTATTGACAGAAAATAGTTGTTCATGTTCGTAGAACGTGCTCTTGACACGATTTTCTTTTCAGTTCAGCACAATCTGGCATAATTAGTGTTTGTCCGAACAAACCAACCTGGACGATGCTTCGTGCTGGGAATATTTCGCTAAAAACACCTGAGTAAATTAGCACATACTGGCCACAGATTTTCTACGTTGACACATAATAAACGTTTTGTGAATGAATTTGACAATAATTGACGGATAAATAGAAAAATGAGTACCGTGTCTGTGCGTACGTGGATATTAGGTCTAACAGAGTATAATAATAAGTTAAACAAGAAATAATTCCTATTACAAAAAACGCCGTAACATCTTTACCTTATTCAATTCCTCCATTTGAATTTTCATTGTAATATTTCGACATTAATTTTGATTAATTGATTTTATTATTTATTTCTATATTTAAGATTATTTTTGTTCACTGCTGTTGACTGACCAGGGTGTGTGGTAAGTTAATTACGTTGATAACCTTCAGAGGCTTCATCAGATATTGTCGGTATTGTCCGTCTCCTAATAAACCTTTTTTTTTTTTCTTTTTTTTTTTTTTGCGATAAGTTAATTACAATCCCCCTGCCGGAACACCGAAGAACTGTCTGTAAAGATAGCCAAAATAGAGGCTTTTCGACCCGCTTGAGTTCTCATTATTTTCCATCCATAACCTGATCGCCTTAGCTGAATTGCGCATGCTCAATTGTTGCATATAAGGTTCGATCCGGTTGTATTTCATACCCTCTTCGCAGCCTCTGTTTGGTTCCTCAGACGATTTTTTGGTAATCATACCCCCTTCGCAGCCGCTATTTGGTTCCTGAGACGTCTTTTTTGGTAACTGCGCATGCTCGACATAGCTCGATAACGTCACTTACTTAATGCACATGCTCACTGCTGTCTAGCATTTCCAAGCGCATGCTCACTGTGTTTTATAGATAATTCACAGACGTTATTTGGTAACTGCGAATGCGCGTTGCTTAGTTAGGAATTCCCATTTTTTTCGTAGTAAAAACTACCGCTACCTACAGTTTCTTAATGACTGTTTCCTCTTGATCGTTACAGCCTAAATGTGCGGCGCGAAAATAATAATAGAAATAGTGCTTATAATATAGACACTAGAAATGATGTTATGATCGTATCAAAAACACTGTAGCCCTACAACAAAAGTGTCCTTATAACACTTTTATAAAAAAATAATAATAATAAGTGTTTTCAGTGAGAATTGAGCTTGTGACCTTTCACATTCAATGATCGAGTCACGATCGCTACACCAAGCCTGTTTATACAGTAACAGTTTCATACACCCAATAACTCACAAAAAAAAAAAACCTTTAAAAAATAGCGAGTAAATAAGCCTGTCAAATAAAAGATGCTGTATAGACTGGTGAACGTAAGTATAAGCAAACAGCTAACTGATAGATATCATGCGCTGTGTAAAGTGCTTCCAGAAAGAATTGAACCTTGCTGTCAATCCGAGTGTTAACAAATAAAATGGATAATCAAAATTGCATAATATATGATAAATATAATATATTATACAATTTATATATATATATATGTATATATATATATATAAATCAATAACATTGATATATATATATTGATATACAGGCCTATATATATATATATATATATACGGTATATTACACTAATGTGTATAATACTATGTACCTGACTGTTATTTGAATCCGTTCAACTAAGAAGCCTCTGTGGTCTAATGGTTATGAAGCGGGCCTTGACAGTTAGAGGTCGCAGTTCGAATCCCGTCTGAGGCATTTTATTACACAATATACTTACTTATGTAGGACAACATTCGTTGAGAACTATGCTACACGATGTACCATCATGTCCTTCGAACGTTGTATTTATCTTTCTTTTATGGATATATATATATATGATATTATATATATATATATA